GCTGAGAACATTCGCAGGTTCGACAGTAGGCTCGGTGAGCGGTCGAATGTTCAGGTTCGCTCAGTGACGTGGTATCTTACTGGTGTGAGCGATGTAGGGTCGAAGTAATCGCACGCGGAATGATGGGCTGATGTTCTAGGTGGCCGGTAACAGAAGATGGGCTATAACAGAATATATCATGTGGCTAATGGTAAATGGTCCACTGTAGTGGGGCGGAGTTTTGGGACGATGGGCAGTCGAAGGAACTGGTTGTCGAGTAGCACTAAGTCTCCATCCTGGTAAAATACTGCCAGTCGGTGTAGATTGGCATTGCGCTTAGAGATTACATTCGCGTATTTAATAGCTTCGGCTGCTCGCTCTCTTGCGTTCTGTAACATTTTGGCGAGCTGTTGGGCTCGTGGCACTGGATTTTCGATGTTGGGCGTGATCGGTAGTGTGGGGTTCTACCCGTAGTTCAAGTAAAACGGTGGCTGTCATGTAGTGTCTGATGGGCCGTTATTATATGCGAACTCAATCATTGGCAGTTGCTGCTCCCAGTCGGCCATGTCATCGCAGGTGGCGCGAATCAGCTGCTCCATTGTCTGATTGGCCCGTTCGCTTTGTCCGTCAGTCTCGGGATGGTAGGCGGAGGAGAATTGCAGGCGCGTGCCGAACTATTCCCAGAGGTTGCGCCAAAAGTTACTGGTGAATTTCGTGTCGCGATCCGAAATGATGGTGGATGGAATTCCGTGGAGGCGAACGACGGTTGAGATGAAGAGGCGGGTTGTTTCTTCGGCTGAGATGCTTTTTTTGCAGGCGGCGAATTGGGCCATTTTCGTCAACTTATCGACGACGACGAATATCGCGTCATTACAGCCGTCCTTAGCGAGCAACCCCATGACAAAATCCATCGCCACCTGCTGCCATACGCGCGCAGGCGGCAAAATTGGTTGCAATTATCTAGCTGTCTTCTGCTTCGATGATTTTATGGTCTGGCAGGTTCTGCACGAAACCACATGCCGCTGCACGTCCCCTTGCATATCGGGCCAGGAATAATATATGGTCAACTGCTGCTTGGTTTTCTCCACTCCGAAGTGCCTTGAAATTGTACTGTCGTGAGCTACCTGTAACAAAAATTCTCGTAGTAGGCTGTACTCTGGTACCCAGATGCGGTCAGTCCCTGTCTTTACGTAATAGACTCCCTTAGCTGTTGCGAGCTGTTCGTACGCGGGTGACGTAAAGAATCTGTTCGTGAAATACACGTGGGTGAATAGATCTGTTAATAGCGGGGAAGTTTGGGCGAGGATTATGGAGTTGAGGTGGCCGGATGGGCGGGAAAGGGGGTCTGCAATGTTGGATGCCCTTTTCTTGTAGGGGACAGTGTAATGGAAATTGGACTCCATAAAATCCAACCACCGAATCTGTCGCGGGTTGAGTAGTGGCTGGATGTACTTTTGGCTTTGGTGGTCTGTCCAGACAGTCACGTCTACGCATGTCACGTAGCACTGCCACACTTTGAACGCGCGCACGATCGCGAGCATTTCCTTGTCGTGTATCGGATAGTTTCGCTCGAGCGGATGCAATTTTTGTGACTCGTACGCGATTGGCTGTAGCCCTTTGCCGAAGTCCTGTAACAGTACTGCTCTGATGGCGATGTCGCTGGCGTCGGTGATTACTTCGAATGGACGGTGAGGATCGGCGATGCGAAGGATAGGGGCTGATCACAGAAAAAATGTTAGCATTGAGAAGGCAGCTTGCTCTTTCTCCCCCCACCTAGACGCAGTCCCTTTCCGCAGCAGGTCAATTAACAGTGAAGTTATCCCCCCCCATATTTGGGATAAATCTCTGAACATAGTTGACGAGCCCTAGCAGCTCCAGCAGGTTCGTAGGCGGTAGCCAGGGTTGCATTGTCTCAATCTTGTGCGGGTCCACCTCTACGCCCTTAGTGGAAATCACGTGTCCCAGAAATTTAAGCGATCTTTTAAAAACTCGCACTTACAGTAGATCCCTGTGTGAGCAGCCGATGCTTCTACAATAGCGAAAAAAACTGCTCCGAGGTCTTTTAAGTGCTGCTCCCGGGTCTCGCTGTAGACCAGGATATCGTCCAGGTAAACTATAACACACTTATAACACAATTATCACTTTTCATGGTCATCTGAAGAGTCTCCGGGGCGTTTGTCAGATCGAATGGCACTACATACTCGAAACTCCCGTACTTGTGACAGGCAGCTGCAACTACTTGAATCTGATGGTAACCCCCTCATAAATCTATTTTGGAGAAGAACCTAGCTTTGCGAAGTTGGCCGATCAGTTCGTCGGCACGCGGAATGGGGTAACGCGACTTGATAGTGACCTTGTTCAGTGCTCTATCGTCAGTGCACATTCGGTACCCGCTGTCTTTCTTCGGGGTGAATATTATGGGGGCGGCAAATGGCGAGGAGCTCAGTCGGATGAATATTTTCTCCAGTAAGTAATCTAACTGTTTCTGTGATTCCTCTAACTCCGGCTGTGTTAATCGAAATTGTCGTTGCACCGTGGGCTATCCCAGGTTCTATCTCAATTCAATGGTCGAAGGGCCGTTCCGGGGGTAATCCCTCGTGCAGGTCGTCTGGAAGCGAATCAGCTACGCTTAATCGGCCGGCACTGCTGCTGTGAGCTTCTCTAAATCGGGCAGCTGCGATGCCACGTCTACTACGCAAACGACTACAGCGAAGACTTCCGCTCCTCGTGCGACCGCTCGTTTGATCGCCACGGAGTTCACCTGCATCACTCCCCCCATGATCCCATTCGTCCATTCTGGTAACGTGACACTGCGGCCGTTGATTTTGACATAACAGCTGCCGGTCGTCCAATCAATTTTGGGGTTGAATCCTCGCAGCCAATCTCGTCCCAGAAACGTATTGAAGTCGTCGAGTGTAGTTGCCAGCATCCCCATTGAAAATCGAAGTCAGCTCCACAGCGTTCCCTGATCCTGTTCGCCTGGTCTTTTATTGCTAGTGGGGTCCCATCGACTAGTCGACCGTCAATCTCCGGTAGACACCTATCTAATGGTAACTTCATTTTTTTTGTCGTTGTGAGGTTGATCAGAATGTGGCTGGCGCCCCCGTCCACGAAGATTTCAAAAAATTCCCCTTGAACCCTACCCTCTAAATAAATAGGGTAATCCGCCACTGCACCCTTCTTATTCAGCCGAGTTTGGCCGATTTTGTGGATCTGTACCAGTGCTCGATGAGGGTCATCGGTCATGGGCAAGCAGGTTCCATCAGAAGTAGGCCCGTTAATTATTGATACTAAGCGTTTCCCTGGTCGCTGGAACTCCCATGCCCGTGATTCCGCTTCTTCCGCTCCTCTGGGCATTCCGACTTGCGGTGTCCCGGTCTGTTATACCCGGAGCAGCGACCCTTGAAGGCTGTAACTGCTGAGTTCGAGGTTGTAACAGCATGTATAGTGGCACACTTAATTGGTCCCCGAGTGCAACTTTCGTCATAGGAACCCGCCCTTGGCTTGAAGAACGAATCCAACCGCTCCGCAACCCTCTGCGCCTCCATCGAATATGTAATTTCCCTGAACTGGATTTCTCTGCGCAGATCCGGTCGAAGTCCCCCGATGTATCTGTCGAATGTAGCCGACCTAGTCGCATAAATTCTTGCAGCTGCTAGTGTAGTCCTGGACCGATCCGAGTTGGCGCCACGTGCGAAGGCGGTCGCGCGCTTGGCTGCTTGCATTGACGTATTTGAAGCGGCAACGAATTCCTGCGCACCACGATTGCCACGTGATGTACTCGTCCACCTCGCAATAACTTCCTGCCCAGTGATTGGTCGTGCGAAAACGCCCGATCATGCGTGGCGTCGTATCCGGTTCCTGCGACTGAAGTATCTGCTACCACCAATCCATAGATGGTCCACGTAGGAGCGACACGGCGTATCGGATTTTTTGCGCGTCATCGCCGATGAGGTTGCGTTAGTAAAAAACATTAAGGTGAAAGATCCACCTGCTGACAGACAAGCTGCCACGCTGGCTCGGGTCGAACGTGGGTGGCCTTTGCGTCTTGAGAATGCCTGGCACCATGTTGACGTTGACAGTTTGCAGGGCTATCGGAGAGGTAATTGAGGACGGCAGGTTTATATTCGTCCTTTCACCAATTTCTGCTCATCCAATAGCCGGTGGCGGGTTGTTCGTCGAACCCTCGGGCGAAGCCGCATGTGGTCGCTGATTGTCGCGACGTATTTCGGAACGCTGCTGGGTTACTTGCTCCTGTTGTCCTTGATTTGTCGTTCGTGCCATGTCGTGTCTGAGGCAGTCGACTCCGAAGTGCAGATATTTTAGATTACGCTTGGGCCGTTTCAGCTCGCAGACGCGCCAATTCCTGCTGGTACAAATTGTGAGTAAGGCGGACTTTGTCAAGCACTGCCGCCCTTTCTTCAGGAGTCATGGCGGTAGACGCCGACGGATCCACAATTTCGCGGAAAGTTTTGGGCGGCTTTCGGCACACTGGCACCGCGAACACAGTCGTGGCTGTAGGTAATTATCAATTAATATTACCAGGACAGCGGATATGCAGTGAGCACAGGGCGTCAGCCTCCCTAAGTGTCGGTATTGAGCACAGAGCGCAAGGCTGAGGATCGTTGGCTCTGATGGCCAGGTGTAATGAAACGCAAAGAGCGTGTGTCGAAGGATTGATTAACGAGGAAATAATACAACTGAGGCAACATCAAAACAGCAGGGAGCATGGATATAGGCAGCTTAGGAGCACACGGTCGTGGCTCGGCAGAGCTGCGACTTGTGGAAAATGGCGCGGAGCGCCCAGATCCAAGGCATGCAACAGCAAGGCGGGCAACAATGTATGTGGTTCGCCAGGAGACCACATTTGGGACCGCGATTTGAATTTCGCGGCAGAGCTGCGCGGCAACCCCGTTATAGCAGTGTACGCCGTACTGACTAAACCGCTTGATAAGGAAATGCAATTTCCTTTCAGGTATACACCATTAACATCTCTCCCTCCTTTCACTCTTCCTCGTGAACTGCTCAGATCCAGGAGTCAACGAGCTCTTCCACTCTTGTAACTACTACCGTACCAAAACCTAGTGATGTGAATCCACTATTTGCGATGCACCAACTGCAAGACCGTTTCCGCTGACAAGGTAGTTTAAACAATACCTCGGAGCCACGACCATAAATGCCGTTTGTTCTGCGCATGTCACCTTTCAGACATGGCTCAGTTCCATCAAGGCAGCTGGTATTCTCTGAATGCTGCTACGGTACGTGGTACAGTAGGTTGTTTAGATGCTTTTGGGCAGTGCACTCAATGCATCATGGCCTTCCCAGAGTTTCAGTGCCGAGCTCAAACCAGACTACCATCCAGGTAGCTGGCCTTAAGGTTCAGCAGATAATCCTTCAGCTCTGAGTCACCGAGACTGGATTGCTGTAGGCATAGCAGACGCTGGGCGACAATGTAATCTCGGCGAAGCGCTGTAAACTTGCTGTAGCCAATTTCCAACCGGCGTGATTCCTGCAAAGTCACAACTCAATACGAAGGCCCATTGGAAGGACAATTTGTCCAATATCCGATTCTGCTGCTTACCTGCTGTTCCATTATATCAGCAATTCGCTGTGCTTCACCCATGACTGGTGCTGGAAAACCCATAGCTTCAGCGAGCCGCAAACCATAGTGTGGGACATCAGTGTACCCTTCCTTCAGAACGTACTGGCAAGTAGATGTGCAGCTACAGTTAGCCTCTTAATGAAAGTAAGAAATATCATATGCAATTTCTCATTTAGGCTGTACCTTGTATGCAAGTCGCTCGTTGCTGACTGCGACTGAGAAGTAGCACACTTTGCAATTGGGATAAATGGAGGCCAGCTCTCCAAGCTGCTTCATATGAGTTGCAAAGATTATGTATCTGAAATTATGCATGATGTCATGTTGGGAAGTACTAAGTATTCAGAGTTGTTTATGACAAAGATTAAAGGTGGCAAGGAAAAGGCAAAAAAAAAAGCACAACTGACAAGGAGAATCACTTACGACGGAAATGTGAGAAGGTGTTCACAACAGCTCCATGCAATCGCAAGACCATCAAGCGTTGATGTCGAACATCCCAATTCATCAACGACCACAAGGCTCCTGAATTTAAATAGTGATTAGGATTGTGATACTCTGGACCATAACACAGCTTCAAGCTGACTTTTCATACGAACCTTGGAGTAAGATGGTCCATCAAGAATGCAGTTTCACGCATCTCTGTCAGGAACTGCAAGCAAAGAACACTCTGAGCTAGAGCGAAAATGCACTGGGTAAAGAAGTGTAAAAATGGCAAGCACATGCACCATGCTGGAGTTCTCCTCAATGCTTTCTCCAGTCCCAATTCTTGTAAATATACGATCAACCACTCGGAAAGATGCAAACCGAGCAGGGACATAGCAGCCGATGTGAGCCAGGATAGTCAGCAAGGCCACCTGGCGAAGGTAGGTGCTCTTTCCACTCCTGAATAGAAGAACCGCATGTCAGCATTACATTTCATTAGAGGCGCATGACCAAGATTGATGTTGGGTGTGCATACATGTTGGGACCAGTAATAATCATAGCATTTGAGGCCTCTGACATGAACGTGTTGTTTTCCTGCCAAGAAGAGAGGGAGGGGAAAAGGTTTAGAAGCACAATAAAAGAGCAATAGACGGTTCTCGTTTGCAGACATGGCTCACCACAAATGCATCTTGGAGAAGCCCCTCAGCGATTGGATGTCGACCACCATCAATGGCCAAAGGACCATGGTCTGAGCCAATGTAAGAAGGTGCCAAATATCACACTTCACTGAATGCAATAACATTGAGCCGCCTGTATGTACCTGTAAACTCAGGGCGGACATAGCTGTCCACCGGGCTTGTAGTTACAATAAATGCAAAGCTATTGGTGATCATGTCAAGGAGGAATACACTCTCCAAAAGTGAAGAGAACACAGTCAGCTCCTCCCTAATTCGCTGACACAATCCTGTCACGAGAAAACGTTACTTAGCACAGCCATAGAACAACTCACACTGCAGCAATGCTAGTTGCTGAAGTAAGCAGCATGTGTCTAGAAATTTACGCACCTTCGAGGCAGCGCTCTTCTCGAAGAAAACACTCAGCTGAAGCTTCCTTGTTCCGAATATTGAGCTGCAATGACGGTTTGGAACTTCTTGTGAGAACTCGTAACAAAAGGTGGAACCTAACTGCATGCAGATAATGCTTACCGAGACCAGCTCTTGTGTTGTGCACTGGTAGTTCTTTCCATTCTTGTTGACCTGACATGCCACAGTTATGGTCCAAACCCTTGTCATAAACGTAGAAATATGTGGAGCTCACTATACCTGGAGAAAGTTGGGTGGAAGCTTTTTCCCCTTCACATCTTTCACTGGAACTCTGATATAAAACCCTCGTCTGTTGTTGAATGGGAGTCGAAGATTCGGAAGAGAATACTGCTCACGGTAGGACTTCCCCAGAGAGTGAATAGCTGCCATAGCACACGATGACCCAGTTCAGTGTATCCGTTATCTAGGACTACACTGATGAAGCCGTCTTCTCACCTTCACTAGTTGCACAAAACGTGCGCCTGGCGACGTCCAAGAAGCCATCAAACCCAGCCTTGATTGCGAAACATTGTTGTGTTCGAGCAATGAATGGAGACCTTGAGTGCATGACGTCCTCGTCAAGAATGTGCTCAATTCTGCATCCAAAGCTCCGCATGAGCTGATTCAAATGACCAAGAAAGTCAAAGCAGCAGAAGTACTTACTCTTTTAATAAAATTGGAAATGCTTGCTTCTTGCAGACAATATCTCGTACGCTGGTTAAGAGGCTACACTTAGCTCCACTCAGAGCCTTCACGAGTGTGGTAATGGAGGTAGAGTGAGAACAAATTAAAAGAACTGCGCAAGAAATAAGTCAAACAAATCCATTTCTATACCTCTGCAAGTCGAGGGACAAGAAGTAGAGTCTCTCGCAAGAGAATGATGCTTGAAAGCACCACCATATTTCTTCTAGTAGTTGTGCCATCATCGGCAACTTTGCGTGGACGAAATGCAAAGCTTGTCACAATACGATCTGCAAAAGCACGCTAGCATTAGCCAAGCTCTCAGCTGACGCGTACACACATCCCCCTTTGCAGCATACCAAGATCTTTTGGGAATTGCTGAAGAATGCTTGACACTGCTGAGTACAGCGACTCATCGTTAATCATTTCCTCCTGCGCCAGGTGAAAATAGTTCTGCCTCAGTTCTAAGGAAGCTCACATGTGGTATCGACAGGAAAAGGGAAAGTTGAACACACTCAGTGCGCATTACCAAGCAATCCAGTCGCAGTTTTATTGTTTCCTTGTCCTTCAGCGGCTGGAGAAGATTTGCTTTAAGAAGCCGTGCCCTGCTTGTTGCAACAGAAAGCTCGTGTCAAGGTACTCGTTCCTTTTTCCAATGACAAGGCACGCTACCAATAATTGCTCACCCGCCCAATGTCTTTGTTGAATTCAGGACACCAAAAAGACTGGCTTTTTTCTTCCCATCTCTCTCTGAATTTCCCGGCAGTGGTTCAATCACCTCCAGATTTTGTATGCTGCACAAAGCGAATGATGTTAACAACTGAGCAACGAAGAAAAATGAACTGATGCACGTACCTGGTCGCATCTATTGACAAGTGGTTGAGGGAGCCGTTGAAAGTAACCTGAAGGGACCTCTGCATGATCACTGCTGACTTCTCGCTTTCAACCCTGATTAAACAGAGATGTTCGATTATAAAAGACAACATCAAGAAGAAAGAAGGATTCTACCTGTGACTTACCACTTCAAAAGTGCAGCTGCAGCACCTAGACAGAGGTAGTACTCCTTGTAGTGCCTATCCACGTTCGTGCCGTTGGCTTTTCCATTGGTGTAAGATTGGACGAGTAAAGCACCCTGTGCGTAAAACGCGTCAGGTTATCACTGATATACTATGCGCTCACTCTCTAAAACAGCTGATCTACTATGCCGCCACTGACCTTGACGTCGTCAAAGCAGCCACGTGCCATGGTCACCTGTAAGAAGCGCCAGCGAGATTCAGCAAGTAAAATGACCAGAATCAGCCAACATCACAAAAATGTGGATCTCTCCTATATTGTAGGTATAGTTGTTCGTATAGCAAGGCTACTCCGTAGCAGACGTACCTATGCCATACCTACTGTATACCTACTCCGTATTTCTGATCCTGGAATTTTGGGATGAACTCGCAACAGACTGCATACCTTGCGAGCTGCTGCGAAGGAGGAATGTGAAGCAAGAGCCATGACTCCGCCAATTCCTTCCGCTAAGTCTGCCATTCGGGCTGGAACGATAATCTCAGTTGGCTTGAAATACTGCAGCAAAGTCAGCGTGTTCTGGTACGACTTGCTGCTTTCGATGTACTGATTCAGGTGGAGAGTTGCGGATCTGAGGTCCAAGGCGGCAAGTCCGACCTACGCGTGCAACAGACATATCAGTTTGAACGAAATGCGAAGTAGTGAAAGAAACAACAGGTAGTGCATACCTCGCGTGCACGATTCTCTATGAGCGCAACGACTACGTGACTGTCATCCATAGGTCCACAACTCGTGGGTTACTTGAAATGTATGTTGTGCGATTCTACTGCCTTGTGCCCTGTGTGTATAGGTTGCTGCTGTGGCGACAATGAGGGATCCGAACGGAGAGCTTCAAGTTAGTTCAGGATACCAGGGTGCTTTGGGCGGGATCACGGGACGGAAGGAGTTCGTGGGGTGGACTCGAGACGAACTCGAGAAGCGCTCAAGGAGAGCTTGAGAAGCACTGGAGAGCTCGAGAAGCACTCGAGAAGAACTCGAGGGAAAGTGAAACCTGAGGGCGGGTGTTATGATTTAGAAAATGTCAATGTACTATAATGAGAATACAACGTCACTATTGCCATGAAAGCACAAGGTTATATAGGAGTGGACGTAATAGGGCGATAACCTCGGGACGTGGATAGGTTCGGCAGTGTGGCGATGCTGTCGGACGCGACTCGAGAAAGGGTTGGGCCGAAAATGTAGGCCGAACGTGACGAGTCGAAGTGTTCCGGTGTACGCGGTAGCGGGCGACTCAGTAAGGAGTGGAAATTCCTTACACTACCCCACCTTCCTAAACGAGACCGTGGGCATTGGAGACATTCCGACGCTGGTAATATGCCGTTAGAATTGGATGTGATTCTAGATCAGCAAGGGGCACCCAGCTGTCGTCTTCGGACGTGCGATTTCGCCAGCGGACGAGGAAATCAACCATCCGACGGTTCAGCTGCGTGGTGATGCGATGGCCGAGAATTTTCAAGGGCTCGGTCGTCGGTTCCTGCAAAGGCGTCAGTTGCGGTACACCACGGTTGCGTGCCAAGTCCGACGAACTCGGACGTAGGGTCGGAGGAGACTGACGTGGAAGGCCGGGTGATGGCGCCAATCAGCCGGTAGCCGAAGGTGGACAGTGACAGGTGTCACGAGGTTGGTCACTTGAAAAGGTCCGCAGAATCTGGGTCGGAGTTTGCTTGGGATCGGCAGCCGCAAATTGCGAGTGTCGAGGAGAACCAGATCTCCCACTTGGTAAGTGACGTCGCGTCGATGTCGATCGGCTTGTCGGCTTGCGACCAGGTTAGCTTTCCGAATGGCCTCAGCTGCTTTGTCGCGAGTGGCGAGAATGTCTTCAGCAAATTTCTGGGAACGGGGCACGGGTGACTCGATGTTCGGTGTAGAGGGTACTACCGGGTCCTGTCCGTAGTTGAGGAAGAATGGGGATTGATTGGTTGTGGCTGAGGTCGCGTTATTATACGCGAATTCTAGTAGCGGAAGGGATTTCTCCCATGTCGATGGGTCAGTACAGGTGGTGCGAATGAGCTGCTCCATGGTTTGGTTAACGCGTTCGGTCTGCTCGTCGGTTTGTGGGTGGTAGGCGGATGAAAATTGGAGTTTGGTGCCGAATTGGTCCCACAGGTGACGCCAGAAATTCGATGTGAATTTTGGGTCTCGGTCCGAAATGATGGCGGAGGGCAGTCCGTGCAGGCGGATGACGTTCGCAAGGAACAGCTGCGTAGTTTGTTCGGCGGTGATTGTCTGTTGGCAGGCGATGAAGTGCGCCATTTTTGTGAGTCAGTCGACGACCACGAGGATGGCGTCGTTTCCGCTAGGACCGGCCGGCCGTCCTGTCACGTAGTCCATCGTGACGTGTTGCCAGGGTCGCTCGGGCGGATCCAACGGCTGTAGTAGTCCGGCTGCTCGCTGATGCGACGATTTCATAATCTGGCAGGCGGTGCAAGAGGACACGTACTTGCGCACGTCATCGGCCAGTAATAATTCCGCTGCAGCATCTTCGTGGTTTTATCGACGCCGAAATGTCATGAGGTAGGGTTGTCATGGGATTCCTGGATGAGCAGGGTACGAAGTAAATCGTAGCCGGGTACCCAGATGCGAGAGGTACCGCGCTTATGAAAATACGGGCCAGTAGCGGTGGTATGTTGTTGATGGATAGCGGAGCGGAAAAAGGGATCGATTCTGTAGCCGTGGGTGAATAGTCCGGTCAGTAATGGGTTGGACTGGGCGATTAGTATCGCGGCGGTATGGACAGTAGGGCGGGTCAAGGCATCGGCGATATTATTGGCCCCCCGTTTGTAGGTGATGGTGTAATGGAAATTTGACTCGAGAAAGTCGAGCCATCGGATCTGTCGCGGGTTGAGGTTCGGTTGGGCGCGCAGGTACTGTAAGGATTTGTGGTCTGTCCGTACCGTGACGTCAGCTCCGGTCAGGTAGCACGGCCAGGTCTTGAACGCATGGACGATTGCCAGCATTTCCTTGTCGTGCACTGTATAGTTTTTCTCCGCGCCTTGCAGCTTCCGTGATTCGTAGGCGACTGGTTGTAACCCGTCGCCGAAATCCTGTAGGAGAACTGCACCGATGGCGATGTCGCTGGCGTCGGTGACGACTTCGTATGGACGGTTGGGATCGAAGATGCGAAGAACGGGCAACGACATGAGGGCGATTTTGAGTTGATCGAATGCAGCTTGCTGCTTCTCACCCCACCAAAAACAATCGTGATCCTTCAATCGGTCGGTTAGCGGTGCAGATAACCCAGCCATATTGGGGATAAAACGGCGGACGTAGTTGACAAAACCCAGAAAACTTTGGAGTTCCTTGAGGTTGGTCGGCGGCTTCCATTCCTGTATGGTTTTGATTTTTCTGGGGTCGATTTTCACGCCTTCGGAGGAGACGACGTGGCCCAAAAACTCCAACTCCTGCTTAAGAAAGTCGCACTTAGACCCTTTCGTGATGAGGCGATTCTTGTGCAGCAACGTGAAGACTGCATCAAGATCCTTTAAGTGCTGCTCCTTGCTGCGGCTGTAGATTAGGATGTCGTCGAGGTAGATAATTACGCATTTATCCAGGAGTTCGCGAAAAACACCGTTCATGGTTATCTGGAAGGTCGAGGGCTCGTTCGTGAGTCCAAAGGGCATCACCAGGTATTCGTAACTACCGTAGCGGGTTCGGAAGGCGGTCTTGTGGCAATCATCGGCGGCGACGCGAATTTGGTGGTAACCTCCTCGCAGATCGATTTTCGAGAAGAATTTGGCTCCGCGAAGTTGGTCGAGTAGGTCATCGGCTCGCGGGATCGGGTAAAGGACTTGATGGTGATGCGGTTGAGTGCGCGGTAGTCGATGCACATACGGAATCCGCCATCTTTTTTCGGTGTGAACAGTATGGGGGCGGCGTATGGGGATGTGCTTGGGCGGATAAAACCTTTCGTCGGGAGGTAATCCAACTGCTGCTGCAATTCCTCGAGTTCCGGTTGGCTGAGCCGAAATTGTCGCTGTACTGTCGGTTGTGCGCCTGGTTCCAGTTCGATGCGGTGGTCTTCGGGTCGGCTTGGCGGAAGTCCGGCGGGTAGGTCGTCCGGGAAAATCTCGGGGTATTTTCTAATGAGTTCTGCTAAATCCGGAGGAACGGCTTCACACAGCTTCGTGATATCTTCCGCGGTTATCGGCGATGTCACTTCGCGAAGATCGACGGCGTATGCTGCTGCTCCCGCTTTTATCGCGCGCTTGAAGGTGATCGCGTGGACTTGGGTACTTCGCATGCGGGGTCCCGTCCATTTCGGTAACTCGTGATAGTGCCCATCGATCTTGATGCTGCAGCTGCCCGTCATCCAGTTGATTCTCGGGTTGTACTGTCGCAGCCAATCCCGCCCCAGCAGCACGTCGCACCCGTCGAGTGTAGTCGCCAGTAGTCCCATCCGAAATTTTACGTTCTCGCCGCAGTGGAAACTGACGTGCTCCACCCGCTCCCGTATAGCCAGCGGTGTTCCATCCACCAGTCTTGCGTCAATTTCGGGTAGGCACTTTAATAAGGGGATACCCATTTTCTTAGCCTTGTCTAGCTGTATGAGACTGTGACTCGCGCCTCCATCCACGAATATTTTCAGCAACACCCCGTTGACTTTTCCCTCCACCAACACAGGGTGATCAGCAGTTTCGTCCCCCTTATTCGTCCGGGTCTGGTCGATTGCAGCAATTGGGATCACGACCCGGTGGGGACTGTGTGGTTCGGGCGAAGAAGCCTGCCCGTCAGTAAGGGGCCCGGTACTTACTGACGCGACCCATGTCCCGGTCGCTCCTCCGGCTTCTTCCCCATAGAATTATGGATGGCTATGAACTCTTGGCAGTTGCGTTTGATGTGACCCGGTCGGCCACAGTGGTAGCATAGCCCCGTATTTCGCGAAGCAACTGCGTAAATATCCACTGCGTCCATCCCTTTTATCGTGGCGCGCTGGTACTGTTCTCGAGGGCGACCTCCGTCGTAGAAGTTCGTCCTCGGCTTCGTGAGCGAGTCAACGGCTTCGGCGAGTTGGATGAAGTCTTGTAACCGCTTCGCAGGTCGTTGTAATTTTATTTGGTACTTTAGTTTAGGCTTCAGCCCGCCCATGTACCTGTCGACCTTCTCCAACTCGTGCATGTAGCCACATCGATCCACCAACGTTAGGAATGACGCGGCGTAGTCAGACACAGATCCCAGCTGCTTCCACATGCGTAAAGTCTCGCGCGCTTTGTCTGAGTCAGGAGCATGCTCAAATCGCTTGCGAAGCTCTGCGCACCACGTTGCCCACGTGCGAATGTGAGTTGCACCAAACAGCAAATCTGCCTCGTCTTCGTCGCCGAATTCTTCGGACCACTCATGCTGTCTTTCTGTGCGAGTTGCCGCTGAGTCGACGATGACCTTCCACCACTGTAGGGCGGCCCCTTGCAGCAGTGTCAATGCGTGGCTGATCCGTTTTTGGTCGTCTCGGATGCCCGCCGCGTTAAAGTAGATATTCATGGCGAATATCCACTGCCGCACCGTCACGCCTTTATTAGCTGGGTCGAAAGGAGCGGGTTGCTGATATCTCACGCCGCCACTTGTCGAGCGCGGGGCTGTCGCCGCTAGCCGTGCCAGCTCCACTGGTGTCGGTTGCTGCTCACCCGCCTCGCTTCGTGCATCGTCGCCCGGCTCCTCTGAACGCCTTTCCTGCGCCTGGCGAAGTCGTTAGTTTCCGTCACGGAGGTTGTTGACGACGCTTGTCAAATTATTCAACTGCTCCATTAATGCTTGCAGGTCTACTGTTTCCCGGGCAGAGTTCGCAGCAGTCGAGGTTGTCTGTTCTTCAACCGTAGAGTCTACCGGGGCCATGGCGGTCAGGACGGGGCAGAAACTAGCGCACACGCTGTAGTTGTTGACGTAAAAATATTTACGATCAAAGGCAACTGCTGTGCAGCCGTGTTAATCCCCTCTGACCACCCTTAACTAACTAACGGGGAAAACGGAAGGTTCCGAGAAAGGTCGGGCTCTGATACTTGCTGTTATGATTTAGAAAATGTCAATGTACTATAATGAGAATACAACGTCACTATTGCCATGAAAGCACAAGGTTATATAGGAGTGGACGTAATAGGGCGATAACCTCGGGACGTGGATAGGTTCGGCAGTGTGGCGACGCTGTCGGACGCGACTCGAGAAAGGGTTGGGCCGAAAATGTAGGCCGAGCCGAACGTGACGAGTCGAAGTGTTCGGGTGTACGCGGTAGCGGGCGACTCAGTAAGGAATGGAAATTCCTTACAGCGGGTCCAAATAGTCTACACTCTATTAATTTTGTGAAAAGTAACCCGATTTTAACCTCGCGCTGATTTCGCGAGGACAGGTGCGCGAATTTGCCGTAACTCGGGAGCCAAGCAAGAAGAACCAAGGACAAGCAAAACAGAATGGGAGAGATTTTACCATTCTATCATCCCTGTGAACAGAATCTTTTCGTGTCGTGTGCCTGTTTAGAATGGATTTTGAACGTGGTGACTACTTACAAAACGTTTAGACTTTGTGCATTGTATTTACAGAGTGGGGTTGCAGCTTGTGTCATAGAACATCTAGAGAAAGTGCATTGCTAAAGAAACTGGAGACCTCTACTCTCCAGCCTCTTACCCCACATCCATGCTCTCCTATTGTTCCCTCACCCCACCAGCTCCACCAAACCCTTCTGTACCTCACCACTCCTCCACATTATCAGCAACAAATCCAGCGAGCAGGCGGCCATTGGTGGAGCGAAGCTCGTTCATGAGGCGGCTCCAGTTGGAGCCGAGGCTGCCGACGAAGAGGTCGCACTGCACGGCGATCAGCACGCTCGCAAGGCTCACTGCCACCGACTGGTCGCGCTCGTACTGCCGAAGCGATCCTGCCGCGCCCTGCCGCGCGTTTGACGAGTAGAAGAAACTCCAGGAGGGGTGCTCCTTTGTTTGGTCTATGTTGGCCTGTGCGGTGCAAGGAAGAAAAATAGACAGTGGGAAGCACATCCACAGAACCTGACTGGGCTAGAAGTGGCACGAACCGAGATAAACGGGCCATCAATGGGCACAGATGAAGAAGAGGACATTGAGAGGCATGATGGAAAACAAAGGTACAAAGCAGTAAAATTGCCTTTGAAATTGTTGTAGGCATCGGACCTGCGTCTCGGTGTTGAGCCAGACGTGTTGGAGGTGGAGCGCATGGGGTCGGATGCGAGTCATGTGGAAGACGTGCGAGTCCAGGGAGCTCAGCCCCATCTCCGCAAACTTGTCCGTCCCCCTTACATGCAGACTCACTATAGGCCGCGGCATGTACGGCTCATGCACTCCCACCGACCAGCCAGCATCATTGCCAGTGTCACCGTTACCTCTGGCACCACTACCACTGGCGTCTGATTGGAAGGATAAAGTTGAACTAGCAAGGGCTGCCAGTTGATCTGATGCCTTTTGTCTCCTTGCTTCACAGGCAGTTGCTGCTGCTGTGCTGTTGGCTCCTGCTGGTGTGGCACTAGCAATGGCTGCTGCTGTGGAGGCGCCAAGAGAGGCGCTGATGCTGTGAGAGAGGGCGGAGAGGGATTCTGATTGGGTCTGCAGGAACCGAGCGACGTGATTGGCTGAGACCGTGCCGAAGGCGCGGTGCCTCTCCTGGTTGGTGACGTGGCAGAGGTGGGCGGATGGCCACCGCATGATGAAGCGCACCGCCTGCGCGCGCCACCAGTGCACCTGGGGGCTTAGGGAGAGGGGGGTACAAGGGAAAACAGTAGAGTAAAAATACAGGAGAAATGAAGCACACTACCTGCACGCACCACCAGTGCACCTGGAGGAAGGGGCAAATGAAAACATTGAGCTAATTAACAAGGGAAATGAAGCACACCCCCTGAGCGTGCTGCCAGTGCACCTGGAGGCATGGGACAAGAGGAACTATTAGACTATTGAAAAAAGAGAGAAAATGAAAAGCACTGCCTGCACGTGCCACCCGTGCACCTGGGGGCATGGGGAGAGAAGGGGGGAGTCATGAAACGAGTGACTCTTGACGCGCACTACCTACACCCATCAACAATGCACTAAGGGCCTGGAATCTTGGAAGGAGGAAGGACAATCTTGGGACATGCCCTCCTAAAAATGAGTTGCTAGGTCTTTCCACTGATGCCAACAAGTCACGCCACTAAGCCTTACCTTTGAACCAGTCAAGTCATGTCTCCATTTGGTAGGTTTCATCAAGCCATGCCATCAAACTACCTTGCGCTGGCGTTCAGTCAGGGTTGCCAGTTTGCCGCCCAGCTGCACAGTGCAGGGCGACCTCAGGGAGGCGTCACCCCAAAGGCTGATGGATGGGCAAGCAAGGGGGAGGGAGAGGGAGGGAGAGAACGAGGAAGGAGTGAAACGACAGAAAGGTCAGTTTTCCGTCCAGCTGCACAGTGCAGGACGACCTCAGGAGGAGGCGTCAACCCAGAGGCTGAGAGGCGAGGTGGGAAGGGCAGGGGAGAATTAATGAGAGTGGAGGAAGGAGTGAAACGAGAGGAGCATCAACTTGCCATCCGCGTGTGCTCCTTACAACACGGGTAACGAAGGCACAACAGACCGAACACAATCTGCAGAACCAGCTTCCGTGTGCATGTGCGCATGCATGTGTGTGTGCGCAGTGCAGTGCAACAGGGCTCTGCACATGTGCAACAGGAATGCACCAGACGCGTCCCAACGCACTCTGCAGCTCCAGCCTCCATGGAGAGCCTCGTGTGTGCGTGCGTTCGTGCAGTGCAGTGCAGTGCAATGCACCGAACGCGTCCCAATGCACTGCAGTGCAGCGTGCAACAGGAATGCATTACAAAGAATTTCGGCCACTAAACTAGACGCACTCTGCAGCTCCAGCTTCCATGGAGAGCCTCGTCGGGTTGGCGTATCCAACGGCCACGATCTGATCGTCCCGCGCTGCCACATCAGCATAGTCATTCTCCGCATGGGGGATCTTGTCCGGGTTCTGCTGCAGGGCCTGTTGGATGACGTGGCGGCACGCTGACGAGGCGAGGGGGAAGAAGAAGCACTCCCATTGGCTGTTGTGACCCGCAGCTTGGGTAGTGGGACAGGATTCCGGGTGGGGGAAAGGGCGGGTTGGGGAATAGGCAGGGAAGTGGACAACGGGGAGGAGGGGTAGGGAAGGGGTGGGAAAGGGGGAAGGGGGGAGCATGAGACGGAAAACATGAGACGGCCAGGGAAAAGGCAAACGACTTTGTGCACAAAAACAATAACACACAGGGTTTAGGCTCCTTGAACCATTGCATACCATGCACCATGCACCATGCACCATGCACCATGCACCATGCATGCATCATCCACTGACTGACCTTCACAGGCGGGGATGCGAGCGCGGTCGAAGCCATCGGGTTGCTCCACGAGGGTGCGGTTGTGCTGCATGGCCACACTCAACAGGGCGCTCATGTAGTGGATCTGGTTGTTGCGGGTGAAGGGTGTGTAGGGTTCAACGAAGGCCACGTCATGCGCACATGCACATGCACAAGCACAAGCACATGCACATGCACACATGCACATGCACGAGGGTGCGGTTGTGCTGCATGATCACACTCAATCTGGTTGTTTGGGGGTGAAGGGTGTGTAGGGTTCAACAAAGGCCACGTCATGCACATGCACAAGGGTGCGGTTGTGCTGCATGGCCACAGTGAGGAGAGCGCTCATGCAGTCGATCTGGTTGGTGGGGGTAAAGGGTGTACTGTGTATGGTGTAGGGTGTGTGGTGTAGGGTGTGTGGTGTAGGCTGTATGGTGTAGGGTGTGTGGTGTAGGCTGTATGGTGTAGGGTGTATGGTGTAGTGTGTATGGTGTAGGCTGTATGGTGTAGGGTGTGTGGTGTAGGCTGTATGGTGTAGGGTGTGTGGTGTAGGCTGTATGGTGTAGGGTGTATGGTGTAGGGTGTATGGTGTAGGCTGTATGGTGTATGGTGTAGGGTGTATGGTGTAGGGTGTGTGGTGTAGGCTGTATGGTGTAGGGTGTGTGGTGTAGGGTGTATGGTGTAGGGTGTAAGGTCTAACACACACAACAGTGCGCTCATATTGTGCAACTGCCAGGTGCCGCACATGCATATCCACGAGGGTGCGGTTGTGCTGCATGATCACACTCAATCTGGTTGTTGCGGGTGTGTAGGGTTCAACAAAGGCCACGTCATGCACATGCACAAGGGTGCGGTTGTGCCGCATGGCCGCACTGAGCAGGGTGCTAATCTAGTGGGTCTGCCATGCCACGCCATGCATATGGACGCATGGGACCAGAGAAGGAACGACGGTGGTTACAAGAGATGAGTGAAGCAGCGACTATGAGTGGACTTTGAGGCAGTCTCAGCCCGTTTCACGCTGAGCAAGAAACCGTATCACATTACCTTAGGCGCCAAGATCACCTCAAGTTCGCTACATGTGCCTGACAGGCTGCTGAAGCCACCTGAAAGCCTGCTGAAATCACTTGAGAGCCTGCTGTAATCACCTGGGAGCCAACACCATGCGCATGGGTTTTGGCCCAGGAGGCAATGAGGAGGCGTCTGTTGGTGCAGTCGCCAGAGGGGAACTGATGGCGCCAGATGTCCCTCTGCACGACACGTGTCAACGGAAGATTGGCTGCATCCGGCCCTCTGACCTGGATGGGATTTGGGTGGAGCGACGGACAAAACAAACACACGCTTGTGTTGAGGCACGCTTGTGTCGAGGCACGCTTGATTCGAGACGATCCTCGAAACATGTGTGTTCAGGGTTGCTTCAAAAGCGAATTACAGGTCCAAGAGAAGTGTGTGAGGGAGGCCATGGCACAGTGAAGCAGAGGGGAGCGGATGAGAATGGGAGAAACCATGTGACATTGTAATTGAGAATAAGATGGATAATCACATTCACATGGATGCTGGCCTTAGGATTGACACTGACAATGACACCGCCCTTACCCCCTTAACCCCCTTACCCAAGGTGGCTGGGGAACCCCCCCCCTCTCCCCCTCCGCCTGTCCCGAGCACCCAGAGGAAGCAGCAGCAGCAGCACCAGCGGCAGCAGCATCCGCCCTCCTGGGAGCCCCTCGGGTCCAGGCGGGCTCCTCTCCGCCCGCGCCTCTCCGCTCCGCCGCCTCCCGCTCCGCGCTCACTCGCGCGCAGTCCTCCAGGTGCGGCGCAGCAGGCACGCCCGGCGGGAGGGATAAATTCGCAGGCGGAAGGGGGGCCGACGGCGCGTCTAAGTCCCCGCCTACTACGCCATACGCCTCCGCCCACGCTGCGAGCAGCGACGAGGCTACCTGCGACGCGGCGTCGCCTAGCGCGAGCGCAAGGAGCGGAGCAGCGGTGCGGTGAGAGTGCGTGTGGTGAGTCGTGTGCGAGGCGGGAAGGGAGGGAGAGGAGAGAAGCGCGCCGATGAGGAGGTGGCTGAGTGTGAGCGAGAGGGTGCCGTGTGCGAGAGATGAGCGAGGGTGGGATGGTGAGATGCGGTAGGAACCGGTGTGACGGCGCATTCTGCTTGCGAGAGACGGCGACGCAAAAGACGGTCGGAACAGCGTCTCGTGCGGCTTGGATTTCAGAATGGCGAATTACTGGGAGGGACAGAGAGAAGGTGCAAATAAAGCTCGAGATCAAGGCGGGTTACGGTAGGTTAGAGATTGATTTCGGTTGGGGTAGGGATCGAAAAGTCATCCCGGGGAATCGAGAAGAAGGAAACGGGGAAGGAGAGACCGAGGTAGTCCCAGATTGTGCCGGCCGTTGCGGCAATGGCGGCAACTAGCATCTAGCCCGAGGAGGTCGAAGTGCAACTCATCATTTTGTACTCGTTACGTGCCTGTCTCGTCGTTCAGCACGACTGACGAGCATTGTACAGTGAGGAGCTCTACACATTCGAGGGTAGGATTTGTCAAGGACTGGTTAATCTGTTGTATTGAACATTTTGTGATTAAACCAGGCCTAAACACCAAACGAAGCACACTATACTGGACACCCTTACAGACCTCTTGACCAGCACCTTCTGACTGATTCTGACACAATTTTCCGCTCAGCAGGGATTTCACCAAGCAACGGTCATATCACTCCATCTGATTCCATAGCTCTCCGCATCGCGCGGCGCTATGGTGGCGATCCAGAACTCGCAGAAGTACGACCGGCAGCTGAGGTGAGTCGGCGAGATCGCACGGCGAGTAATGAGTAATGTTACATTGGCTATAAGCACAGCTTTTTACCGCTTTACGCGCTGTCCAGCATTCGCTGGGTAACGAGCTCTCTTTCTGGTTACGAGGCATCGCAAGAATTGTCGCGAAGCTCGTCGTCGCGATAAATCTGCGATATAAGCATCCAGATGCTGCTGAGTGCTACTCGCGTCGAGTACCCGGAAAGGGCTGTTCTGGTCACCTTCCTCCTGTTGAACTTCCTGATCACCCCTTAGTTCGGTTTCGGAAGGAGTGGGTGGTTTTTGAGTCGACTCAAAAGTCACCTCTGGTCACCTTCCTCCTGATGACCTTCCTGATCACCCCTTAGTTCGGTTTCGGAAGGAGTGGGTGGTCACTGTGCTCTCCTGGAAGTCTCCGCATCGTTCTAGGCCTCCTCGCAGTTTTCCGTTGGGAAATCTCAGTGGTCAAGTTTTCGGTTTCATTTCGACAACGGCAAATCAAATCACTATCACGATGGAACCGTGGTTTGTGCGACGTTCGCAAATGGCAGGTAACATGATAACGACTACTGTCCGATGGGCCGATAATGGTAGCCACAGCCGTCTGATGGACGCATTGTGGTAACTACCTGTGTCAGATGGGTGTTTAGTGGTAACCATTGGTGTAGGATGGACGCATACAGGAGTAATCACACCTGTGAGATGAACGTGCTGTATTAACCACAGCTGTCAGATGGGCTTGTACTGGTAACCATGGTTGTGGTGCGTCCTCACCTCGATTCTGCTTTTCAACCTTATGCATCAAATGCGCTTCCACAATGCTTTCTGTTTCCTGGAGGCTCCTACGTGGTCAAGCGAGCTCGTTCACTGCATGAGGGGGGAGCACGGGCAGAGAGCGGTGGAGCAGTCAGCGGGATATGTGTGTTGATTCATCTGAACATTGCCTTGGCTCCACCCCTCCACCTGCACAATATGGGGAGAGCACGGACATTGAGCGCGGATGCTGACTGACAGCAGGAGATGTCCTTGGATTCATCTGAACACTGCCTTGACTCCACCCCTCCGCCTACAGGATATGGGGAGAGCACGGGCAGAAAGCGCTGGAGCAGGCGCGAGTGTGTTTGCTGACAGCGGGGCCCACAGGCACTGAGGCCTTAAAGAATCTGGTCTTAGGGGGGATAGGCTCGTTCACTGTGGTGGATGGCGCTACTGTGGAGGCCCATGACCTTGGAAACAACTACTTTTGTGAGTTGCGCTCTGACTGGTGTAGATTACTGTTAGAGAATGTGATTATGAAGAGGATAAGCACTGTGAATGGCACTGCTGTAGAGGCCCATGACCTTGACTCCTTTGTGAATAGAGCTATGACTACTGTTAACTAAAACCAGGGAATGCGATTATACTGAAGATTGGCTCGTCTGCTGTGGTCAATGACGCCACTGTGTATGAAAGCTCTAGTCACCTCTTCTTCCAACCTCCTTCCTAATTCCTGCCTTGTCTCGCCCTCCCCGCCAGAGTGATCACTGCGATTTAGGATCCTCACGCAGGCAGTCTGCTGCAAGAGCTGAAGGTGCTGATTCCCCCCTACACCTCCTCCTCCCCCTCCACCCCCCTCTCCCTTTCCCCCTTCTTTCTGTGGCCTATCATGCAGTGGACCGCAGCCACCTAGGGACGTCTCGAGCGCAGGCGGTGACAGTGCTGCTGCAGGAGCTGAATGAGAGCGTGGCGGCTAGATTCGTGGAGGAGAGCCCCGCGACCCTCATTCAGAGCAACGCCAAGTTCTTCAGCGAGTTCACCCTCGTCATTGCCACCCAGGTAGGGGTTATTCCATTGGATAGGGTATTCCCGCTCCTGCCATCTCCCTGTTAGGCTCCAACGCATGGTTCATGGAGGAGTGGAGAGCCCCGCGACCCTCGTTCAGAACAATGCCATGTTCGTCAGCGAGTGCACTCTCGTCACTGCCGCCCAGGTAGGGTTCCCTCTCCTGTCATCTCCCTGTTAGGCTCCAGCGTATGGTTTGTAAGCAATTTTCTCTCGTTAGTGCAACTCATATACGATATGGCTTCCTTGCATCTGTCAGCCCGCCTTTATGCTCTTTCAAGCCAGCATAGAAGTAGATGACACTGTGCTGAGTTAAGCCCACGACATGATTTATTGCGTTGTTTGGGTTTTCTGAAAACACACAATCCGTTCCGTTTGCTGTTCCGTCCTTTTCTTGACCCTTCTTCGCTGGGCCCCTCTGCCCCTCCAATACTCCACCTCACCGCCCTGCCTATTATGTGCCCCACCTTTCGCTGCTCCATGCTTTCTCCTCTCTACCCCACTGCCTTGATCTCGCTCACACACCCTCTGGCCCACCTCCCATCTACCACAGTTGGGGCTCACTGCTCTGTACGTCCGTCAGCAGTACGGGATTGAAGCAAACACTCACAAACACTCACCCTGTGTCCCCTCCTCCCAGCTGCCAGAGTCCGTGCTGCTACAGCTGGACTCTGTGTGTCGGCAGTACGGATGTCAGCTCATTGTGGCACGCTCCTACGGGCTCATGGGCCTCATCCGCATCTCTGCTTCGGTAAGCAACTAGTTATCTTTGACCATCCTCTACCCTTGTAGGCAGATTTTTCACAGCATATCTCCCCCCCTGTAAGCTGTATCGCTCACACTGTAAGGTCTACCATCCCATTGTGCAGTTCTGCGCCGTCGGTAGCCACGCCAGGAGGTCTCCTCCCTCCTTCTATAGTTTGTCCATTTGCGTTCCCTTCCTCTTTGCTCACACGAGGCGTTGTACCCCCTGCCCCTTTGGTTTGTGTGCTGGGAGCACACTGTGGCGGAGTCCAACTCTCCTTCCCTCCCCCCCACCCCCTGTTCGTCTCTCTGCCCGTACCCACTCCTCCCCCAGGAGCACAGTATGGTGGATTCGAATCCTGACAGCACTGTGGACAATCCGAACCCACTCTCTAGCCCGCCTGTCCTCTCAATTCCGTGCCCTCCACACGCCTGCCCTTTTCACCCCTATTATCTCACCCCCTATCCTCTCACCTCCTGTTCTCTCAACACCCCCAGGAGCACAGTGTGGTGGAGTCAAAACCTGACAACACAGTGGACGACCTGAGACTGCACAAGCCGTGGAAGGAGCTGCGCGAGTGAGACTTGGGGGGGGTGTGGTAGGGGTGATTGGGGTGAGAGGGTTGGGGGCATGAGGGTGTAGATTGACAGTTCAGGGACAAGACAACACAGTGGGCGATTTGAGACTGCGCAAGCCATGGAAGGAGCTGAGAGAGTGAGACTGGGGGGTGGTTGGGAACTTGGGGTTGATATGGTGGTGGAGGTGGTAGGGCTGTGCAGTGATGGGGCTGCAGGGTTAGAGGACGATTCGAGGATGCGCAAACTGAGTTTTCCCAACTCCTGTTTCCTATCGCGCTCACTGGCTGATTCGGAGATTCCCTTAGAACATGGACTCTCCTTCTTGCACTGCACTGGATCCTGGCATGGACGGACCCCATGGCACCGTGTTGCTTCAGAACATGCCTCCCGTGTTGCCTAATGCTTATGTATGAGCTCAGGGTCACAAAGTGATTCGACCTGGAGTTGGAGGACCTGATTCTCCACGAGCACATACCGTACACTGTCGTCCTGGTGCAGGGACATTCTCAGCCTCACTAACCCCCTCTTTCCTCCTGCACACTCGATGCTGGTTCACAGAGGGCGTCGACCTGGACATGGAAGATGACATGCTTCGCAAGCACATACCATATGCTGCTATCCTGCTGCAGAGACGTTCTCAGCCTCACTAACCCCCTCCCTCAATGCAGATTATTTTTGAGGCGCCTCAAAAATAGACTCCTGCTGCAGAGACATTCTCAGCCTCACGAACCCCCTCCCTCAATGCAGATTATTTTTTAGGCGCCTCAAAAATAGACTCCTGCTGCAGAGACGTTCTCAGCCTCACGAACCCCCTCCCTCAATGCAGATTCGCTGAAGGATTCGACCTGGACATGGAGGACGCCATGCTGCACAAGCACATTCCGTACGCTGTCATTCTGCTGCAGGCAGCGCAGAAGTGGCAGCATTGGGGGGGGAGAGAGGAGAAGGGAGGGGAAGAGGCAGCACCGGTGGCAATGCAAGCAGATGGAGAGGGGCAAGGTGGGGCGGGTGAGCCGCGAGCGTTGCCTCGCACTGCCAAGGAGCGATCAGAGTTCAAGGTAGGGTGGAAATATTAATGGTGGGTGAGAACGTGCATGGTAGAGTGTCTGTGAATGTCCAAGCGGATTGTGAAGGAGGGGCGTTCGAGCTGCCCGCTTGCCTCGTACTGCCAAGGAGCAATCGCAGTCAAGTTCGTGTGGATGGATGGAAGAGGGGTAGAGTTGGGAGATGAGTGGATGTGAAACAAAGGGGCAGGGAGGGGTGGATGAGCCACGTGCATGGCAAAAAGAGGTTGGAGTTCAAGACAGGGTGGATTTGTGAAGGCATGTGAAGAGGTGTGGGTGTGTGAGGGCAAGGCTAGAGGACTGGTATCTTGTGTAAAAAAATGACAGCGATAGACGAGGATGAGGCTGGGAGGGGAAGTAGGGAGGGAGAAGGGAATGAGGCTGTGCTTTCTTTCTCTTCACTTCACCTCGCACTTCTTTTTAAACTTCGTTCCGTTGCGACCCGCGCCCACACCCAGGCGTTAATCTCAGCCCACCAGAGGCACATCGACGAGGACAACTTCAAAGAGGCGCTCGCTGCTGCGTATAAAGTGTGGTCGCCGCCCCCAGTAGGTACTGTCCTCACGTCTTCTATTCTCGCTTATTGGGCCAACTCATAGACCAGCCCCAGTGCCACTTGGTGTTCTTTCCCTTCAACCCAAAAACACTCTTTCCGAGTCCATCCCCCCTGCATGCACCCGTTACTAACTCCCCCCCCTCCCCCCCTTCCACACGCACCTCTCCTGCGAAGGATGCGCCGCACACAGGCTCAGAGCTGCAGGCCATGTTCATAAACCCAGCATCGGTGTCACGATCCCAGCCGTCCATCTCAAAGCATCCCTCCACGGTCCTCCCCTCCCCCCCACCCAACCCCCTGACGATGCATCGCCCAGGCTCAGAGCTGCAGGCCATATTCTCAGACCCAGCCATTCAGCTCTCGCATGCCTCCTTGGACTTTTGGGTGCTTGCTGCTGCGCTCAAGGTGCGTGCGTCGATGGATTGTCTGCGCTTTTCCCCCCCTTTGTATTGTTGTTATGGGTTGTTTCTTCCTCGTGTCTCACTGGAAGCTCACTCACCTGCTGCTTCCACCCGGTTGTTGTTCTTTGGTCTGCTATTTCACGTGTACCCAAAACCCAATCATTTTTTCCATCAATTAAGGGCCGTCTCCTCCTCTACTACTTCCTAGCATATCTCTCTTACACTTATTTTTTCTTGCTATGTGCTCTTTCTTCCCTGTGCCGTCATCTTCAGTTGTTTGTGGAGGAGGGGGAAGGGGATTTGCCTGTAGATGGGTCCATTCCTGACATGCACTCCCTCACAGAGTGAGTGTTGCTGGAGGGAGCGTGAGTGTGGTGGAGGTAAGTGAGTGCAAGTGTACACAAACGTCCTTTGGCGAGTCAGAACTCCGCGTATGTCTAAAAGCATACATGCTAGTAGAAAAGGGATCTCTGCTCATCCTACTCTACGAATCTCTCGCTGTTCCTTCCCTCCCCTCCTGTATTTCCTCCCATCCCGTCTTTCCTCCCTTCCTTTCCTCCTCCCCCCCCGTCCTTCCTCCCCCCCTGTCCTTCCTCCCCCCCTGTCCTTCCTCCCCCCCTGTCCTTCCTCCCCCCTGTCCTTCCTCCCCCCCTGTCTTTCCTCCTCTCCTGTCCCTCCCTCCTTCCCCCATCCATTATCTCCCCTATCCCCACTATCCCCCCCTACCCCCCTCTCCCAGTTTCTACGTGGCACTTCAGAGAATCTACCTCAGCAAGGCGGATGCTGATGTGGCAGCCGTGCAGCAACACGTCAGCGACCTGCTGAAGAGCATAGGCAGGGACCCCGCCTCCATTCCCCTCACTGCAGTCAAGCTCTTCTGCAAGAATGCGCGGAACCTGAGGGTAATTTGCGTGATCACTTAATAATTCAAGGATAATTCACTGGTCACCCTATCAATCCAATAGTATGCCGCATGGCCCTGCTGCCGGTAGCGGTTGTTGTTGCACATTCTCCCGTGTCACCATACCATACCATACCATACCATACCATCCCCCCTGCGACGGTGAAGCACTTCCTCAAGAACACCGAGCACCTGAGGTGTACACCCCATGCTGGGCTAGCACAGACTTGTAGCGCTGCACTGACTGGGCGCTGCTGTTTTCCGCACCCCCGTGCCATCCTCCTTCGTACTCATGTGCCTTTCAGCTTCTGCTTTACCGATCAAGAATGCTTTTCCTCTACCCCTTGGTCTCCAACTCTCTTATACTCACTATAAGGTGGTTCGCTTCAAGCCTTTAAGCGAGGAGTTGGGAACAGGGGCGCCAACTTGCATTCCAGCGCTCCAGCGACTCATGACATCTTCTGATGGCAGGTGCAGATTCATGTCACTACCGAATGGCAGGTAAGTACAGCTGTTTGTGTATTACCCTCACTCGCAAAGGTTTTTCTTGTAGCACTTTCTCCAACATAGAAGCCAACTCTTGCTTGATGCTGATTCTGTGCTGCAATTTTCACCAGAGTCCTTCCCTGCTCTCCTGACCTCTCTCCTCTTCCCAACTCTTCTCCTCTCCTTCCTCCACCCCCTACTCTCCCCTCCCCGCCTTTCCTCCCCCATTGCCAGCCATGCAGCCGTCTGTGTGCTCCTGAGAGCAGCAGACCACGTCACCTTGCTACCCTCTTCCTCTCTCGTCTACCCTCCCTTCCCCCTCCCCTATTGCTGGCCACGCAGCCCATAACGTGCTTCTGAGAGCAGCAGACCAGCTGTCCCTTTGTTCCTCTGACCTCCCTGTACTCCACTCCTCTCCTCTCCGCCCCCCGTGCCAGTCATGCAGCTCTCTACGTGCTCCTGAGAGCAGCAGACCACGTCACATTGCTACCCTCTTCCTCTCTCCTCTACCCTCCCCTCCGTACTCCACTCCTCTCCTCCCCGCCCCCCTCCTAGCCACGCCGCCCTCTACGTGCTCCTGAGAGCAGCGGACCAGTTCTTCTCCCAGTTTCAACACTACCCCGGCTCCTTCCCTGGGTAGGGCAAAAGCCTGGACCCCTTGCATTTCACGTGGTGTTCATAAGCTTCTCTACTGCATGCTTTGGTCCTCGTTCCAGAGTTATGATTTGTGTAGCAGTTCAGGTACGATGGCACTAAGGTTGATGTCTGAAAGTATGGCAACTGTCAGCAGCCCCAACATTCAGATTCAAACATGCTTCTCAACTACCGGGTGGTTGGTTTAGGGGGGTACCTTCCTTTTCCTTTTCACCTCCATCCTCGTGCTTTGCTATTCTCCTCCCAGTGACGTGGATGATGATGACGTGGCACGCCTAAAGAGCCTGGCAGGGTCCATAGTCAGTGGAGGCGGCAGCCCCAGCCAGTCACCATCGATCCCGGATGATCTGACGGCTGAGTTGTGCCGGTTTGGTGCCAGTGAGCTCCACTGTGTTGCTGCTGTGATTGGAGGAGTGGCAAGCCAAGAAGCAATCAAGGTGAAGCATCTGGTATTATGTAACCCGGAGAGAATAGCTTCTTTATATAACCTCCCCTCCCTAATCCGTCTATCCCTTAATCTGTCTCATCCTGGTTACCATGCCCTGTTGCGTGTTTCTTCCCTGTGCAGCTCATCACCAAGCAGTTTGTGCCTGTCTCAGGAACACTGATCTACAATGGAATCTCCCAGTCTTCTTCAGTTATAAAATTTAGCTAGGGACATTAGTGGTGCTAACCATTGCGAGGGCTTACTATTTTTTTTCACGGCTGATATCATGTCTGGGAGAAGTGCCATGGATGGAAATTTTGATACCAGAAGTTGCAACTCGTAATTCAATTAGTAGATAGTTACGGTGCAATGAGAAATGACTCATGAACATGTAAACGAACTAGATCATGATAGCGAAAGTTTACTTGATCTTGTCGTAGCTGGTCCGCCCTGCTAGTAATGGAGTACAAGCCAAGCAAGTCAACCGGGCAGTCACCCTCACATCCAGGGGTTCACTCCGTATTCATTCTGAACCACAGTGGCAACTGATTGTCGCTACTGTGCAAAGCTTTTTATTGACCGTTACATGCTGCTCTTTTGCAGATCTCAAACTCCATGCATTTAGCGCTCCGACATCACGCTGGTCTTCTGACCCGTCTTGTTGCATATGTTAGTATGGAATGGCACGACGTGAAATTAAAACTCACGTGATCCGCGATCTTGAATACGGCTTCGCCCTGCTTCGGGTCAATTAGCGCCTCAGTCAATTCTCCGCTCCTGCTGTCCTGATTCCTGAACCAAAGCATTGGAGGTGAAATAACGAACTGCTTCACATCAATGACCTGAACTGAAATGGAGACTAGCTGGGGAATTCCATTGACCGACTCATTTGAACAGACTCTTGTGCTGGCATGTGGAATTGATCTGACATCGATTCTGGTTCCTGTGCAAACGAGATCCGCTCATGTTGCTCCAGCACCTTAGTCAAATTGATATGGCTTTGACCCAGCGCGTAGTGCATTTGCGACCACGTCGTAGCGAGGACTGCGCTGCAACGCAGTTCCTCATCCCCCGTTAGCGAGTGCTAGTCCCCCGTTTCCGTCCTATCATTTCGCCTTGTACATACTAACACCTAGCCTCAGAAGACGCGGCTTCTAATACCTTGTACACACTACCAAATCGGTCTTGCCTCTTCCGCCAAGAATCGCGTGTTTTTATACCCTTCAAGGCGTACCATTTCGAATTGACTTGAGCGCTGCTACTCGCAAGCAGAATGATGCGTCACCGCTGCCGCTCCTACCTCCGACCATCACAGCCTCAGTCACATGTGGCATCCGCCCTCACCCTACTCCTGATCGGCGCGCTTCTCTCTTCGCCCTCCCTCCCCGCCTCCAACACGCACGGCGCCGGCCCGCTCCTAGCGCTAGCGCAATCCGCGTCGCAGTTTCTAGGCGACGCGGCTTCGCAGGAAGCCGAGGCGCTAGTTAAAGCGTGGTCGGAGGCGTACGGGCTCTGGGGGGAATCCGTGCTCCCCCCTTCCGCCATCTCGCTCCCCCCGGGCGTCCCTGCTGCGCCGCACCTGGAGGACTGCGCGCGAGTGAGCGCGGAGCGGGAGGCGGCGGAGCGGAGAGGCGCGGGCGGAGAGGAGCCCTCCTGGACCCAAGGGGCTCCCAGGAGGGCGGAAGCTGCTGCCGCTGGTGCCGGTGCTGCTGCTGCTGCTGCTGCTGCGTGCTCGGGGCAAGAGCACGGGGAGGGGGTGCCGCAGCCGCCTTGGGTAAGGGGGTATAGTCTGTACTGAGGTACTGTAGGTATGCAGGACAGTGTATACGAAGAGCGACGTTGGATGAGATATTCAGAATGGTGAATGTGAATGTGAATGTCAATGTCAATGTCAATGCCAATGTCAATGTCAATGTCAATGTCAATGCCAATGCCAATGTCAATGTCAATGTCAATGTCAATGTCAATGTCAATGCCACTGTCAAAGTCAATGTCAGTGCCAATGCCAATGTCAATGTCAATGTCAATGTCAATGTCAATGTCAATGTCAATGTCAATGTCAATGTCAATGTCAATGTCAATGTCAATGTCAATGTCAATGTCAATGTCAATGTCAATGTCAGTGTGTGTGAATGTCAGAGCCAGCGTCAGTGTCAGTCTCAGTGCATTCTCCAATGTCGAAGCAACCCTGAACCCATGTCTTTCAAGCTCCATTTTACGAGCATGCTTGACACAAGCATGCCTATGCTTAATCCGTCGCTCCACCCATATCCCATCCAGATCAGAGGGCCGGATGCAGCCAATCTGCCATTGACACGTGTCGTGCAGAGGGACATCTGGCGCCATCAGTTCCCCCTTGGCGACTGCACTGACAAGCGTCTGCTCATCGCCAAATGGCCCACTCCAGGTGGCCATGGGGCCGGTTCTCAGGTGATTCTGCTAGGCTCTCAGGTGATTCTGCCGGCTCTCAGGTGATTCTGCTGGGCTCACAAGTGATTCTGCTGGGCTCTCAGGTGATTCTGCCGGGCTCTCAGGTGAATTTTCTGGGCTCTAAGGTGAATCTGCTCCCAGGTGAGTCTGCTGAGCTTCTAGGTGAATTTGCGTTATTTTTATAGATTCGTGTGACGTCTCACTCAGAGTCTCTTAGGTTCTCAGGTGGATCTGTTAGGCTCCCAGGTGAGTCTGTTGGGCTCCCAGGTGAGTCTGTTGGGCTCCCAGGTGGCCAGGCTCTCTCAGATGGAGTGTGATTCAGTAGTTTGTGGTTCAGCTGAGGGTGACTCAAGGACTAAAGCGGAGTCACAGTATCCACTGTTCACATCAGGTGCACTTGATTCCAGCCCAGCCATGACCAGCCCAGCTGTGCCATGGTGTGGCAAGGGACATCTTGAGGCGCCTAAAGTAAAGCATCCGAGGAGCACTAACGTAAAAAGTGTTTTTCACCAGCACGTCACCTCATGCAAACATGTGGAGTGCTTCCGATTCACACACCTATATCCACACTTCCACACATGAATCCACCAGGTTCACGTGATGTCCGCCATGCTCAGCCTCGCCATGCTCAACAACCGCGTGCTCGTGGAGGACCCCGACTCGTACCTGCGCGCCCGCACCGCCGACTGCGAAGGTGTGCGGTTGAGTCGCGCTTTCTGCTTCCTGAGAAGTCGAATGAGTCAATAGCTGGAAGACCAGGTCATGTGTTGACTGTGAAGGGTCGCCGCACTGGGAGGACTGCTATTTCTTGCCACCAACAGTCCTATTGACTCACCTGACTGCAAAACTGGATTCAGTTAAATCATTGGTGATGAATGCTGACTGAGTCAGTGGAGTGTTGCAGAACGTCCACCCACCCCCGCACCACCCCCACCAACTCCCCTCTCCCCCCCCCGCCCCCCTCCTGTTCCCACTCTCAAACCCGTCCCTTCCCCCTCAATCTCCCCTTCTCAGCCGTGGGTCACAACAGCCGCTGGGACTGCTATTTCTTCCCCATCACCTCGGTGGAGTGCCGCCGGGTGGCCGTGCAGCAGCTGGCGCCTCATCTCCCCCCCTCTCCCCCCTCCCCCCTCCTCTTATCCCTCATCCCCCATCTTCACCAGCCGCGGGTCACAACAGCCGGTGGGACTGCTGCTTCTTCCCCATCACGTTGGTGGAGCGCCGCCGCATGGCCGTGCAGCACCTGGTGACTTCTGAGGTCCCTCAAACTCGTTTCTTCATGTCCCCCATACCTCCCCCTCTCCCTCTTCGAAGCGAAAGTGTTGTGTGACATTGTAACGAGGTGACTTTTGAGTCGACTCAAAAGTAAACTCGTTTCTTCATGTCCCCCATACCTCCCCCTCTCCCTCTCCGCCCCTCAAAATCTCCCATCTTCATCAGCCGTGGGGCACAACAGCCGCTGGGACTGCTACTTCTTTCCCATCACGTCGGTGGAGTGCCGCCGGGTGGCGGTGCAGCAGCTGATCACCAACACGCTCCCAGAGTGTGCGGGGGTGCGCTTTGAGGAGGCCGCCGCTTCTGATGCGAAATTCGTGTGCGTCGGCATGGCCAACTCCATGGAGTCCTCTGCTGCCAGGTGGGCTGTGAGTCATGAGCTGCCAGGTGCTGCTTTCGACCCCTTTCTCTATGAGCCATCCGTTTGAGGAGGCCGCCGCTTCTGATGCGAAATTCGTGTGCGTTGGCATGGCCAACTCCATGGAGTCCTCGGCTGCCAGATGGGCTCACAGGAGCTGGTCGGTGCTGCCAAGTGGGTTCATAGGGCCTGGTCTAAACGTCTGAGCGCCATGCTGAGCCTGCCCAACAGCTCATGGCCGTGCTGCAGCTCATCACCAACCCGCTCCCTGAGTGGGCCAAAGTTCGCTCTGTGTGGGCCAGGAGGCCGCTCTGTCTTCCGACCTATTTGTGTGTGTCAAAATGGCCATCCATCTCTATGGAGTCTTTTGCTGCCGCGTGGGCTGTGAGTCATCAGCTGCTTTTTAGAGGCTGGTAGGAAGGTCTTGGCTTTCTGGTGGGTTCGAGGGGTGTTCTAGAGGGCTTAGAATGGCCACACAGCAGCTGGTGACCAACGCACTCTGCCTGAATGCCGGGTGCGCTTTAACGAAGCTGCTGCTGCTTCTGACCAATTTTTCCTGTGCTGGGGATCAGAGTCTGACTCCGTGGAGCCTTCCTGCGGCTAGGCGTTCATTTGTGTCACATAGAGCTGCCTACTTGACATTTGACGTCTCATATCCCTCTTCGCTCTCCTCACCCTAACCTTGTCAGCCTGTGTGGGGCGATGGAGCTATTTGATCACCACATGCGCTGCCGTGTAGTGGTGGCGCCTCTTCTGCCTTTGAGCATTCTCAAGAACCAATTTGTCCCCCCGCTGTGCTCCCCCACCCTCGTTCCCTGGCCAGCCTGTGGGGCGACGCTTATTTAAACACCACATGCACTGTGGAGGCAGAGGGGCGACTGATGCCCCTTGCACCGGAACTGCGCAAGGTGGGCAGCGTTGTCTGTGTGCGTGGATTTTTGCGTTGACTATATGTTCGAATAATCTCTGGAGTGTTGTTGCGTTCTGTGGAGGCAGAGGGCAGGGGCGAGCCTGAATTGTGCGAGGTGTGTGGTAGCAGAGCAGACTGTCACATGTGCGAGGGTTGACATAGATGCATGTGCTAATCTGCTAGCATATGTGCGTGTGGAGTGTTGTGTGCTCTGCTCAGGCACAGGGCCAGCTAATGTCTCTTAAGCCTGAGCTGGGGTACGCACGATGACAGCGTGTGTCCCAGCAGGTGTCTCTGGTGACGGGATCAGGCAGTGCAGAGCGCTTCATAAGTCACTGGTGAGCAGGCGCAGTCTGCAACTTGCCATTCGCTTCCCCTCACCCCC